GGTACCGGAGAAAAAAAAAAAAAAAAAAAAGAAAGTACAATTACATTTTGCTCTTCACAACATTAAAGCTTGTCGGACTTTTTCTTTCTTCTTCTTCTTTTTCTTTTTTTAATCTGCAGTTTGCTTTCCCATTGGGAAGGGAGCAGATGATTCTCACTAATTTTGACAATTAGTCTTGTGCTCAGTTGGGCAGCCCATGTACTAAAATTGGGACAATTAGTCATAATTTTCCTCACTGAATCTTGTTCTTTAAAAGTTTCATTATGTTTTATTAAGTGATCTTAACGCTATCTTCTGTTTCATTTTCTGTTTCTGAAAATATGCCTTTGGCACTGACCTACCGTGCAGTGGTCTGGCCTTTGGCTCAGCCACACACTTCACTGCCAGTTTTGAATTCTGTCAAAAGCCGTCCTTAGATTGCCCTAATGGATTCTCAAAGGGCCCGGTGCTTAAGAGAGAACAAAAAGCAGACATTCCTCCCTTCCCTTTTTTTTTTCCTTTTTACCAGGTGCCACACTGTGGGGGTCATAAACCTTGTAGAAAGTGCCAGAGTTTGCCCATGGAAGCATTTTTTTTTTGTTCTACAAAACTGATCTGTCTGTGGCTGGCTGATGTCCAGGATCACAGCTCCTAACCTAGGTTAAACCCGCAACTGGGAAAACCTGCCTGTCCGGCTTTTAGGGCCCTCCTGACTATTGCGCCCCTAAAGATGTTAGCGAAGGCCTCAGCTGCATGCACCTTCCTCCTTTTCTTCCATCCCCTCCTTCTCCTCCCGGTAGTTTAAATCTCCTTCAGGGTGTATCTCACCCTTGGAATGTTTCTTCTTTTGATTCAGTATCTCCATGCAAATTGACCTTGCCTTTACAAAGGAAGAAGAGATAGCAGTACCCAGGAGATGAGAGTCAGAGGGCTCTAGGAAGTCCACTGAACTCCAGAGATTAGAGAGCTCACAGGTCCCTGTTCCCAGCACAGCACATTTTAACTCCATGGCCTGGGACTGTCAAGTCACCTCCAGGAAATTCAAGTTCAGGGTCAAGGAATTTCCCTCAGTGAGATTAATCTGCACAGCAGTGTACATCACTTTCCATCTGTAATTAATGCAGGTACCACTAATTGTAGAGCTACGAGAAAATATATCGCAGCTTCAGATGAGAGACAGTTAAATAATTTTAGCGCTGACATACAAGAGTGCTGTGTTTCTTTCAGATGTTGAAGAATTTATTTAGCCAAAAAGAATCAACCCATCAGGGAATACAAGTTTAATTATTTCACTGTAGAGCCCAAGGAGAATTCTCCCAAACCTATCAACCACACTGTGAAAGGGAGAAGAGCGTCCATTGTAAATTTCTATTTTTCCTAAGAATGTGATTTTTAATATTTTGGAAACATCATGGAGAGTTTTAAAAATCTTTTGGAAGGCTTTTCCCAATGGAAAAATAATGCACATGGACACAATATATTGTGTACAATTTACATTTCCAAGACCACTGGGATTTATTCGTAGGCCTCCCAAGGGTCCACAGAAGCTGTGCCTGTGAGTTTGGAACTTTGCATTGACCGTGAAGGGTCAGCCTAGCACACTGTGCATTACACACTAGTTACCTGGAAAATGAATAGATCATTTTCTTGCTCCCTATGCTGTTCTGGCTTTGTGATAGCCAGGGCCTGGTTAATTAAGGGAAGTAGAGGCCATTCAGAGAGCCTGTCCAGACTTTGAGTGGACAGCCGTAGGAGTGGCCAAGGAGGGGGCATTTCCTGCCATGGACAGGCATGGGCATCAGCCCTGGCTGCAGAAAAACAATTCAAATTCCAATCAATTCCTATGAACTATGAGGCCAAGTATTCTGTGGGCTGTCAGGACAAGGGTTCGTTGGGTAGTGGAATTTTTGTTGTTTGTGTTGAGCTCCCTGACCACTTGAACATCGGCCACTTTCAAAGTAGTACCCCTCCCAGCACTGTTATAAAATGAAGTGTCTTCCTTGTGCTCTTGCTGTAAATGTCTTTCCAGACATAATATTTATCCTGCCACAATCTGGGTTATTTCATATTTGTATAACGTTGGTGACTCAAGGCATTTTCATCCTTAAGTTATTTTACATTATTGGGACACAGCATGGGGATGTTGTCTTTTACATGAGTGGGAAGACTGGTGGAAGGGAAGACTCACTTG